CCTGAGGAGGCAATTGTATCTATCAATTAGGATGTTTTATGTAAATTCCTTAGAGATATATGTGGGCAAAAGTCTGCCGCAAAGACTTATGGTATCTTAGAGTTTGTTAGAGATAATAGTCGTATCCGGTATGGACATATATTGTAATTCTCGGGTATAAATAGACCTCGAGCCCTATATAATTATTAACACACGTTCAATACAATCTCGGCGCATCGCCACCTTTTGCTTTAGTTTTATTTCGACGATTTCTTGCTTTCGGGTTGAGCTGCATCGGTTTCGATCTTCAACAAGAGGTAAAACTTGTTATGACGACTTGTGTTCTCGAGATTAGTGCTTCCATCTTTATGATACTCTAATCTTGTTTATGTAATTCATCGAGTTATCATATATCTCACATAACCTTTGATAATATCGTCATCTAACCTATAATCGGCTAGTATCTGTCAATAGAAGGCAGCCGATTAGGTTAGATAACGACGTTAACTTGGATTACGTGATATATCTACCACTCTATAAAACATCCAGTGGCTTGATTGTCTAGAAATTTTTCTTCTTTTCATACTTAATGCTGCATCAGTTGAGTTTGATCTATTAAGTCGTGCTTAGAACTTCAATCTCTAGCCTGCTTTCTGGTTGCCGATTAGGGTAGTATCGGAGTTTCAGCCGATCTTACCTGATTTAACTACTTTTATCTTATATACTTGATTGATATGTTAAATCCGCCCTTTATGTTAAGATCTTGTTGCATTTAAGTATATTAGGCTTCTGTTTGATATATTCTACTTGCTTTAATATCTTAATATAGAGTGGTATCGGAGTATTAGCCGATACACGCTAGATCTATCTGATCGGCTATGCTATGAATATATATAATCCCATTATTAATATATATTTTGATCTAAGTGATTTATACTGTCTCGGCAAGGTGACCGATCTATCCCAATCACTTGATTTAAGTATATATCAATATAAGGACTATATATCATTAATATCTACAGCCGATCGAGTAGATTTAGTTCTGATTTGCTTGTTAAAAATTGCCGATCGATACATATATGACATCGGCTCAGGGATAAATGATATGTCATCGGCACCTAGCCGATCGGCTATCATTTATAGGATTAACCGCGGTTTCTTTGTCTTTGTTTCTTGTTGATTGTAGGATCAAATCAACTGGCACGCTCACACATCCGAAGGCGAGTTTTGGACCTGCACTGGAGTTAAGCAGATCTCCCAAGCCTCGTGTTTTCTGTCTACAGCGGCTCAAAAATTTTCACGGTTTTTATAGTTTGGGTCCTGGTTGGTATAAACAACCGGGACTAAACATAGTTAAGTGGAGAAAGAATAAGGAAAGAATCATTCATGTACTTCTAGTATATAGTCACCTTTAGTTTACAATCTCTATTATACAATCATGCAACCAATACCCCCTAACTATGCCCTAACTATGCCCTCCTAGTGTTTCGAGAGACCACCCCTGATTGCCGAGTTCCTTACGACAACCTGTCATGGCCATCCGACAGGTAATGAAAATGGAGGAGTATCCATACCAGGAAAGTGTCTTAGGATTATATACTAACGTGGAGGAATACCCGTACTGAGCTATCACTATCAGCGGCCCACCTCTACTGACTCGCAGCATATAACCCCAATTAATGGAACCATCCTCATATTACTAAATATTACTGCATATCGTTGTAGCAGACATGAAGCGATCATAGAAATGAACATTAAACCCACACCAAAGCATATCTCTAGTAAGCTAGTTGAATAGTTATACCGAGACAAGTATGAACTAAAACCGGTACTCGAATAATTGGAATTAAGTAAAAGACCGAAGCTATATAAAGAAGAATATTTCATTAATACTAAAAGTCTTAAAAAAATGAAGAGCTACTAGAGCCATACCTAAAATCTCCTGAAGACTCGAGGACTAAGAGAACTACTCTATTCCTACTCCACTAGCACTAGAACAATAAACTAAACATGAGAGAGCTTGTTGATCTTTTTCTTGAGTGTGTGTTAGAGTGGAGTGAGGTGACCTCCATTTATAGGCAGCCAATGACGGTTGTAACGCTTGGAATTGTCCGAAATACCCCGAAACCATCATTGGGGAGCAATCCTGGACGTCCACGTGAAAGGAGGTAATCAACGGCGCAAGTGGGGGTTCAACCGAACCCTGGCCTGGCCCAATCGACCCACAAATTTGCAGGTGCGTCGTGTGTTGACTCCTCGGGCCAGTAGTGCAGTGGTTCGGCCCATTTGATGTTATTTTACTAGATTTGTAGGCCCATTCAGTCATAAGTCTACCTCTCGATGGAATTTGATTGATTATTCGGTTATTTTCCGCCGATTCTCCTACATTTACGTAAAGTTCTCTGCAAACAAATAATATGATGAGTACACAACTACCTCGGATATAACCATGGCTACTTTATGTATTAATCAACCTAAGATGCATATGTTCTACATTAGATTTACTTGCTATATATTTGAACAAACGTTGCTACACAACAAGTTTTGCATGTTCTCGTTTGCAGAGGTACTTTCTTGGACTAAGGAAAAGAGGCCGAGCATAACGCGAGCATGGAATATCAAAGAAGTTGATTGGGGACCAAACCCAGACCTTCTTCAAGTCGACTTTGAGTGTAATTCAGAGCCCAGGACCAGTCTGCACTAAAATGGGCGCCCAGGTCGCATACGTGCTCGCATTGGGGCGTTCTTTATATGGATGGAAAGCTAAGATGATAACCTTTCCAATAGTTTTGGTCCCACTTCCAAATACTTTCCGAGTCAACGGGAATTGACCAAACAAGTTGACGTCCAGAATCTGTCCCGGTGTTGCGTCACCGTATTTGGGCCTTTGGGCCGTGTATCGTGTTGGAACCCATTAGGGTTGCGTTGAGAGGGGGTTGCACGACCCTAAACTCTATATATCAGTACCCGCCATCATCTTTAGGGTTTGGGTTTTGCTTAGATTATTCTGTCAAGAACAGTTTCGCCACTAGATCGGTTTGTAAGACCCCAACTCGTGAGCTTAATCATTCATCTGCAATTTTGGTTGTATTCTATCTCGTTTTTGTTTATGTTCTTCGATTGGCAAACAGGGATTAGCCTTCTCGGTGAGTTCATCTGCGTTTCGACACGGGTGATAACCAGAGGAGACATGGTGCTACGATTGCAGGGCTCAAGAGCGTGCGCATTCAGGAAGCCGGATCGATTTGTGTCGCGACTCCGCCCAAATCGTTGTTTATCAGAACCTTTCGGAAGATCGAGAACCCTAGTGCACATCATAATATTCCAAATACAAGTGGAGATAGATTATTCTTAAACAAAATATGCATGCAAGCATAGCTACTTCTTTATTTTGGATATATTGACGGTCAAAATTGGTCGATCACAATCATCAACACCGGAGGAAGAAGAAGTAGCATTAGCATAAGCCTTCTGAGAAGGAAATATCAATCTGTTGAAAACTGAAGGACGATCAACCACTGCTTTCCCCTTTTCCAAATAAGATGACTTGTGCACTTGCGCTTTATTAGAGGAGCGAAAAGAATTGCGCACAAGTTTCTTTTTGTGAGAGACCAAAGTGCACTGATTATTTTCCTCCTGTTCCCAATTTAAGAATTCCAACCTCCAACTCGGACCCCCGTCACACCACAAAATGAATCGACAGTGAATTTATTGAGAGATCACAAATAGTCCAACAAACTTGGAGCAGACCTGAAAGCTGAAACTGTTGCCCTATAAAGGACAAACCTTGAACCCAAAAGGGCTACCCCCAAGATAAGTTTGATGGGCAATGGCCGCAGATTTGACAGTGAGCTTGAAGTTGAATCTTAGGAAATCTACCACCAGAAGGAAAGGACGTGAGCCAAAGTAAGAAGAGAAGTGCACAGGAGTACCATAGCGGCGATGAACATTATCAGAGAAGAATTGGCCTGCCGAGAAATCCCACCCCAATAGAGGAGAACGGGTAATGAGATCAGCCGAATGAACCATGACCGGAAAAAAAACCAAGAACAAAGACGACTAGAAAACAAACAGGAAGGCCTCTCCAATAGAGATCCACCACATCGAGGAGAGACTGGGAGGATGCCGTCAGAGAGTCCCATCAAAAAGTTGTTAAGGTGTGTTTGAGGCATCTTCCTAATGACGTTACGTTGGCGCCGTGTAAAGGACCATTTCTAGAATAAGTTTTTTAGGAGTTTATTTATAAAATATTTTTTCGAAGGGACTAAAAGGTGAAAAATCCAGCCCTTCCAATCACAGTGGAAACAATCCCGAGGAATCTATGCCTAATTAAAAACTACGTAAGGCTTCCGGATGTATTTTCATAGGTCCCTCCTTACGACGGTCCAGCCAGTGTGATTCCGCCTCCTCCTTCCTCCCCCGACCCCCTCCCTCCTTCCTGGCAGCCTCCACCTCTCCCTCACAATCGCAAAAAATATTTGATCTAGCCTGATTGCTGTAATGCCCCGATTTTCGTTCGGGATTAAAAATCATTTAATAATGCATTTTCTAGAAAATAAATAAAAATAAAATCAATTTAATCAAGTGAATTATAGAGGAAATTAAGATTTCCTTTAAAAATCATTGGCCGGGAATATTTTGTAATATTCTTTGTGCCCTAAACTACTCTCCGGATTTTTCTGTGAATTTTCGGAGCTCAAGAAGTAATTTTAACATCACAAAGTGCATTTAATCAATTAAATAAAAAGAAAAAAAATATAATTTCCCCTTCCACCCTTTCGGGCTCGGCCCAGGTTCTCCCCCTCCTCCTTCCCGGGCCTGGTCACCCTCCTCTTCCCTTCCTCCCTCCTGCTTGGGCCGTCTGCCCAGCTTGCTCTTCGGGCGCGCAAGTCCACTCCTCCTCCCCCTACCGACTCCCTCCCTCTCTCTCCCCGACAGGTGGGACCCGAGGCCCCACCTGTCATCTTCATCTTCCTCCTTCGGCCAGCCTCCATGGCTGCCAAAACCGCCCCACTCCGCTATTGTTTCCGCACCACCCCGCCACCCCCGTTCGCGCCCAAGTGGGGGAGACCGAGTCTCCCCACGTCCCACTCCTCCCCCGCAAAATCGGCACCGAACCGCCGCCTCTCCGACCACATCAGCGCGCCCATGTCACCGGCCGGTTGCCGCCCTCATCAGCCACGATTCTCCCTCCCCGAGCGTATAAAAACCACCCCCATACCTCCCTCTCCATTTTACCCTCTCTCCTAAGCCCTCCCATGCCCGAAAACCACCGCGCCACCGCTGCTCCTCGCCTCCGCTGCTCGCCGGCGATCTCCAGCCGCCCCTCACCGCCGCTCTAGCCATCGCCGCACTATGCCGCCTCCACCAATGGCTTTGCCGTCACGCGCCGCACACCGGCAGCCGCTCCACTCCTCCAAACTGCCGCCCAAACACCTCCTCCCCGTGCATCCGAGCCGCCACCACCTCTGTCGCGCTCCAGCCACACCTCACCGCCACCCTAGCCACCGCCGGGCCGCGCCGCCCCTGCCATTCGCTTTACCGCTCCACGCAGCACACCGGCCCCTACTCCGTTCTCCCCTTCCACCCCCGCAGCTCCATTCCCATCGTGAGGCCGAGCCACTGCCTCCAGCCGCGCGCCACCGCCGCTCCCGCCACCGTTGTGCTGCGCCGCCTCCACTGCCGGCTTCGCCGCCACGCGGGCACGCTCAGCCTCCACTCCGTTTCACCATTCTATCACCGGAACTCCACCTCCACTGTCAACCCGAGTCGCCACCACCTCTACCGCCTCCAGCCGTCCCTCGCCGCCGCCGCCACGAGCGACCTCCGACCTCGCACTCTCCTTCATCGACTTCGCAACAACGATTGGGAGCCTGACATCCCCCTCATCCAAGCTCTTCGTCAACGGAAAATCGATTACCCGCTGTGAGAAGTGAGCTCCTCCCCTCGTCGCCAGCTTCTGGCCGAGTTTTCCCACCGCCTTGTGCCTCCTCCCTTTTCCCTAACCTTCCCTCCTTGTTCCCCAGGTCCTTCCGACCACCGTCTGCTGGTTCTCGCTCGCGAAACACCGCCGTTGCCGTGCCACCCCGAGGAGCCGCCACCACCTTCCTGTCACCTTCTTGCCATTGCGCGAGCACGGTAAGCACTCCCCCTCCCTTTTCCTCTCTCCCCTTCACCGGCCGCCCTGTGCCGCGCCGCCGCCGCCGGTGGCCGTCCGGCAGGCCGCCGCCGCTGTTCGCCGCCGCTCAGCAGGCCGGTCTCGGCCGCGCCCATGCCCTGGCTGCCCTGCCTGTGGCCGCCCGTGGACCACTCCCATGGTCTCGGTCCACGGTGCCGCCCAGGCCGCAGTGGACCGTGTCCACCGTGTGCTCTCCCCTTGTGCCGCTGACGCGTGGGGCCCGCATGTCGGCGCCGGCCCTTTGCTGAAGTCAGTGCTTTGCTTATACTTTGAGAAAATAAATAATAAGTGCGCAATAAATCGAGTTTAATTCTAGAAATCGGTTAAAATGGCTCAAAGCTTCTAAAATTCATATCTAATTCATTAGAACTCCAAATTGGGCCATTCAACTTGCACAATTCATCTAAAATTGAGCTCTACATGTTTGTTTACTTTTTATATACTATTTTCTTGGTTTTTATTAGAGTTTTTCCTCGTTTTGCATGCCAGCGTGTAGTTTCCATCGTTTCGGAAGCTCGCGGTCGTGAGGAAAAGTGTTCAAAATATCCAAGTGAAGAAGGAAGGCAAGTCACACATTCCCCTTGAGCATGTTGATCCTAATTTAGAAATGTTTTCTCGTTTGCAAATAAATATGCATGTTTTGCAAATTACATGGGATCCGGATATTACCTATCTGCTCGCTTGTGCCATGTTTACTTGATATCTGTTCTTTGTCAACCTTGGGTAATAAATCGACTAGCTTGTGTGACTATGTTAACCTTGCTAGAACTATTTGCTTAGCCATGCTTAATTACCACTAGTTCAGTTGATGGGATAATTACAGTTTTAGACCTGTTAGTATCATGACGAGCTGCGTGCTCAAGACACCCAACCATGTTGCATTGGTCGTAATTATCCAACTAAAATGCGACTGAATGGTGGGTTGTGGGTGCATGGTTTTGTTGGTCGCACCCATGGCAATTAAGGACCGGTTCGCGGGATGCACTGGAAGACATACAACGCTTGCCACAAGCGGGAATGGGTAACTGCCTGACTTGAAGTATAGCTTTCCTCTGGCTGACGTTCCCAAGAAAGGGTGGGCGTGATGGAGTAGGGTCGCCCGGGGTGTTCGGTCTATCGGCTTCTGGATTCACCATGGAACGAGAGGGGACTACCCGCTGCCTTGCGAGGAGTGGGGGTGAAACCTGAGGTGTGGTGCGATTGGTCAGAGGGGGTTATATGAAGGGTCTTGTCACAATCACTCGACATGGTGACGTGTTCATCATGGGCGCATGATGACACGGTGACATGCCGGTGGATTGTGTCTTGTGGGTATAGTTGTGCACCTCTGGCCATAGTAAAACTATTTGAATAGCCGTGCCCGCAGTTATGAGTGATCGACCAGATTCATCGTGATTAGTCTCACACTTAATAAATCCACCTAATGCATTGTAGTTCAGGTGGGTTGGTTGGGTCTGTTCAACGTGGTGTAGCGTTGATCAGTGGAGATTTAATATTACCTTAATTACTCAACTGTTTTACTGTTTTGCGCAATAAATGTTTTACAACCGCCTTTATGCAAATAGCCACAAACCGTCCTTGTATCCTCTTGCACGTCTGCATTATTGGTGTGGCTTGCTGAGTACGGTGGTTGTACTCAGCCTTGCTATTATTCCCCCATTTCAGAAGTGTAGTGCTTCTGAGCTGAAGACGAAGTTAGAGGACCAAGGCTCAGACCCCAGTCGAGTTTTGCCTGTGGAGTGGAGCTGAAGCCCCACTAGAATCACCTTTTCTGCTGCTGCTGCTTTTGTTTCGGTGTGAGGACTAAGTGCCTATCCTGTAAGTATTTTACGCTTTATTTACGTTTGGAACTGTTTATTACTTGTCTTTTGTGTATCCTGACTGGTCCTGGACAGGGATTTAATACACAAAATAGTCTGGAAATTTGGGCTAAATTTCTAGGCGTGACAGATGCACACGCTCCCCCGGCACCTCTACTCTCCCCACAGCCCCTCTCTTCTCTCTAGCACCCCTCCTCCTCATCAGCCCCTCGTAGCGCCCCTCTTCTCCCCTGCGTTCCCTTCCTCCTACTCATTCAATGAAAATGGAACCCCCCTCGTCCGGGAACGCGTTTTGACACACTCATGCGGCCGCGTTCACCACGAAAGCTCGCCGATGCCCTCTCTCTCTCTCTCTCTCTCTCTCGGGACCATGTCATTGTTGTTCCCATTACTTTGGTTTTCTTCATTGGCAACCGCCACTATCTATGTATGAGTCACATCGTGGGACAAGTCCGGCCATCTTACTCACCGCCGTTTGGTCGCCGAAGTACCGGCACCCATCTACCCTCCTATTCTCTTTCTTGTTTCGGTTAGGGAAGACGATGAACAATGTTAGTAGATTTTTCTCCATCTTTCGTTCTTCCTACACGTTCAAGGAAAATGGAACCCCCTCATCCGGAACGCGTTTTGACGCACTCATCTAGTCGTGTTCAGCACCAGAGCTCGTCGTTGCCGTTTCTCTCTCAATTGGTACAACATCTTTGTCAGCCGTATTCATGCTGTTTTGATTTTTTTTTGTTGCCAACCTCCACCATCTATGGATGAAGGCACTATTTCTTCCTGATCTAGCCTAACCATGGTCCTGGACCACTCATAATATTGAGACCATGGAAATACGAATCGAACATCAAAATTCTAATTTATATCAATGAAATGTGTACTGTTCAGAATTAATGGATGGGATATTCATCTATGGGCTAAACTAAGTTTTTTTTTTATAATTTCTAGCTAATTTCAGTTGCTTTTCCATTAATGTAATTTTAGCACAATTTGATCCACTAAAAATTGTTGTAACTTATAATATTGAATTATTTATGGCTAAAAGAAAAAAAGGGATTTAGTTATATAATTTTCCTGATATTGAATTATCATTCCGATCAAAGTTATTTGTAGTTTCATGTTGTCATTTCTACGATTATATTTCCTTCTGTACAATGGTGATATACGGTTTAGGATTTTAATTTAATTAATCATATTTATTTTTTTTTCAGTTGTGATATATGGTTTAGAATTTTAATTATGTCAATGAATGTTATTTAGAATTTGTGGCAATGCACGGGTATTATGCTAGTTGATGCCTACAGCTATAACATGTTATGACATAGGAACAGATTTTTTAAATGATGTTCATCCACAACGACACACCCTCTTGGACTGACTAGTCTCCCACCATATCATATGCATATATCTCGTTGCAATCTCAAAAACCTAGTTTTAGAAAACTTCCATTTTGTTCTGCAAGCAAAAGTACAACGACTTTCCTGAAACTTCTCAATTAATAATTATTTTCTACTTAAGCGCTCCGCTGTCAAACATCACCAGATCTTAAGCCAATAAAATAACATAACTCTCAATTCTTTAAGGAAGTTTGGCACAAGCAGACACGAGTTAGTGGGATTCAGATTTGGGGTGACAGTTTGAACAAAGCGACGTATCATGTCGTACATGAGTACAACGGATAAGGCAAGGAGTCAGTAAGATAAGGTTCGGTAGTTCCACGGATTTTGCTGGACTAAAGCCCCTATAAGTTTCGTAAAAATCGCTCCTCCATTAACAGTTTGAAGATCGTGCGTGAAAATACATTTTCACACGCGAGTCTCTTAACATACCTGCACTAGCAACATTTTCACACGCGAGTCTCTTAACATACCTGCACTAGCATGTTAGAAGGCCCGCTAGGAAAAATTCACCATCTGGCCTCCCTCCACCTAATCCCTTATTCTTATCCACTCCTATCCACCTCCATTTCTCCCTCATTTTCTCTCCTTATCCTCTCATTTTCTCCATCTCCCTCATCTATCCACTCCTCCCCTTAGCAGCTGCGGCAAGCGGGACTAGCAGGCTTAGGAGCGGCAACGGCAGGCTCAGGAGCTACAGGCCATGGACAGGTGCGGCCTCCTTGGGGCTCGGGAGGGGCGGATCCATTGCCCTCGGCCTCGGTACTGGTGACGCCAATGGCGGGTGGCGATGCTGGAACTCAAGGACAGCGGATCCGCCACCCTCGACCCCGTGACGTGTGACGACGATAGCGGGCAGCGACAGCGGAGCTCAAGGATGGTGGATCTAGTGCCCCTGCCCTCGGGAGGAGCGGATCCGCCAGCCCTGGCCCCCGGCCATAGTTGACAGCCGCTGCAGTGACGACGGTAGTGGCGCACTACAGTGAGGATGACGACAGTGCCTTGGGGAGCTGGGTTTCGACCAGCGACGGGCTAGGTTATCGGTCGATTTCTTTTCGCCAAAATTAGTTTTCCATGCAGTAGATATAGGTTGCACTAGCTGCGTTGAAAACTTTGATTTCCGCAGAAACCTAGGTGCATGTGGGCCGTCCAACCTCCAATGAAAATTGATTTTGACATTATTCTGTAGTAGTGTTCCTCATTCCTCTAGAAACCAATGTTGTGCGATTTATTTTCTTTAATTAGCTTGTGAATTTCAGCATTCAATGTAATTAGGATCAACCTGAAATTACTCTAATTTAATTGCACCAACCCTGGGTGTGTAATAACTAAAACGCCCCTCCCACATAGTAAATGTTTTATGACACGTTATATATTCTCAAATATCTCATAGTAAACATTTACTGATAGACTTAAATACCAGGATTTGTGATAATTGCAGTCTCAGTAAAAAAAATTATTAACATTGGGTATGTTTTAATTATAACATACCGCAGGTGCAGTACAGTGTGTATGTGTGTATATATGTGCGTGTGTGAATTCTAAACTTATATCCAAATTTTAATCCTTATATAACTCTTCTAGTTGTCTACAAGTTAATTGTTTTTATTACGCTCAGCTCCATAATCAAGTTAAATTAGTTGACAGTGTGCTTAATTTCGTGTTATATTAAGACCTTATTATGTAAAATTATGTGTCACATGCCAAAACTAGTATGGTTTTGTTCAACTAGGATATATAAAATTCACTCCTTTTATTAATTGTGTTACCTAACCGGCCCAAAATCATCATCAGGCACCAAACACGGAAGAAACACCACATGAGATCCAAACACGATGATGACACCGAGGAACGATATTTGTTAACGAGATTCAGCCGAAACCTACATCCACGGGGCACTAATTACGGACACTTCTCCTCAATCAAACATATTACAGCGTATCAGAATTACAATGACCCTTGGCCAGATGTCACCGGCAGTCGCTACATCTCACCATGCTAAATCGCCATACGCGGGTACAACAGGTCTGCCTCTCTGTTTAAGAGAGATCCTACGATAGAGACATAGAGTCCGATTCTTACTCTACACCTAGAACTCCAAGCTCTATACTGTAACCGACTTTGTACATATATTCGACAAAAACTCTAACACCTACACGCCCGACCTACGAATCTTAGTTAGTGATGCTACCAACTTACACGCAAAGGCTTATGCTTGAACTTTTTAGTCTTCCCTGGCATGATTTGTCTATCCATGTTAATTAGGAATAAGTTTTTAGTGGTATAATTCATTATATTTTTTTTAAAAAAAAAGATAAACATTTTGAATTATACCAATAATGACTTAATCCTAATTACCATGAGTACGGTTATCAATTATTTGTGCGTACTATCTTTGAGACAAATGTGTATTACATTTGGAAACCGAGACCAAGTCGAAGAACATCCCCTTTAACCCATTTACTGATGCCTCTCTGCATAAGGTTGCAAGTGGGGCGGGTAGTAGATGAGGATGCTAGGTCCCGATCTTCCGATAGGTATTGATAACTCTTGATTTGGTGGAAACTTGACACGCATGATTCGGCTTCTTATCAACACCATCTGAACCCTGCAATCGTAGCACCATGTCTCCTCTCGCTATCAACCATGCACTCCTGGTTGACCTTGCCAAGAAGGCTAATCCCTTCATGCGAACCGAAGAATACAAGCAAGAACAAGATAGATTATAACAAAATTGCATATGAATCATTAAGCACTCGAATTTGGGGTTCCACAAACCGAATTAGCTGCAAAGCTACAATGGCAGAAATAACCTAAGCAAAACCCAACTCTACTGAATAAATATGATTTGGACATCCTAGGAATGCTCTAGGGCGCACACCACATTGGGTTTAGCCCACGACAAAATTACAAGGCCCAAGACCCAAGTCAGATTCGGACTGCGTGAGGTACGTGGTTGTTTTGCAGATTCCCGACAACTCGATGGGAATGTTGACGTGGGACCAAAACCATCTGAAAGTATACTCTATAAGCTTTCCAACAAGTACTCATGGGCTTCGAGATTCCTTCTAAATTAGCAGCTAGGTGCCTAGGTCCATTTGAAGTTGATGCTGTCAGAAGGCCCGAATCCGAGTCCAAAATGTGTAGAACTTTATCTCCTGTCTTCTATGGACTAAAAATGA